CTCTCTCCCTCTTCCTTCAATCATCCACACTTTTTATGCTTATGGTTTCTTCCCCTTCTATGTGTACCTTTTTGTTGTGGTCGTGTCGTCCCAGCTGTGCCACCCTGTCCAATCAGGTAGTGGTGGGTAGAAGGGGAGGAGGGATGACGGGAGAGGAGGTGTAGGGAAGAGTGTGTGTGTGTGTGTGTGTGTGTGTGTGTGTGACCAGATTCACCCTCCTCCCATCACCACCATCCTCCCATCACCACCCTCCCATCACCACCCTCCTCCCACCACCACCATCTTCACCCCTGGTCACGTACACACAGTCCAGGGAGCCACACACTCAACTCTACTCAGTCTTCAGCCTCACGTGTTCCCCCTCCGTCATTGGTATCTTTCTCCGTGTCTCAGCCAATAGGATCTCTTGTCAACCATCAGCTGAATCGCCTCCTGCTGAATCCACCAATAGGAACACAGCATTATCGCCTCTTGCTCTATCCACCAATAACAACACAATACTATCGTCTCTTGATGTATCCACCAATAGGATCTCTCAAAATATCGTCCAATAACAACTGTACAAATCATAAAAATACACAAATGTAAACAAATAAATAAATAATGGATAAAAATTACAAGAAAACAAAAATAATAACAACAACAATAACCACAATTACAACAACAACAACAACAACAACAATAACCGCAATTACAACAACAACTACAACAGGCAGCACCCACAACACACTCCATCGGGTAAAATATAAGTCCTTCGTGAGAAAAATTAAATTAGAAATAACCCGACGCCGCCACTCCTGCCCGGCCACAGTCTTTATTATCATAATCATTATAAATTATTACCAGAAATATAGAGAAAATAACCAGTGAATGTTTTAGGTCACGTGAGAGAGAGAGAGAGAGAGAGAGAGAGTTGTGTGTGTGTCTTGGCATAAACTCGTCACGGGAAAAAAAAGTCAGAATAAGACAAGTGGTGATAAATGAAGGAGGGACAGGTACAAGTAACGATAGGTGATGATCTGTCTGTCTGTCTGTCTGTCTCTCACTCCAAGCTTTAAATAGTCTTACCTGCGTCAGTCAGCTCAATACACGTCTTTCCTACCCTGACTAATGACATTCTCTCCAAATTGCGTTTTTCTTAAGTGCGACTCAACACAGCCATTTTTAGTCACACTCGAGTTGTTCCTCTACCCAGCTACTGATGGACAAGGGCGAGGAGTCTTGTGGAATGTTCCCCCCAAAAAAATCGTAAGTCAATTTGTTTTCCTTTTAGTTCATCGTTGACTTGGCTCCCATCTGTGTGAGCTGCTTAAGGGAGACAGACACGGGAAGGGGGGAGGGGGTAAAGGGGGGTGAAGGGGGAGGGGAAAGAGGAGGAGGGGCAAGAGGAGGAGGGGAAAGAGGTGGAGGGGAAGGAGGGTGAGGGGGATTCTATTGTACAATCTCCTGAGAATCCAACTTTATACTGTAGCCAAAATTTAATATATTAATCATTTTTACATCAACTTTGAGGTAAATTTTTACACGTACGATTCTCTAAGAAGCCAAATATTTGTCATATCTTAAGTGAACCCAGTTACATCACTTGTCACAATGAGGGGGAAAAAGTTCCTAAGATATTTTGAGTATTCAGACCGTGACCATGGACCTGACCAGCATCTGGGTATAAGAGGGTCATTAGCCATCTTCCTTGTACAATATAAAACAATTTAAAGGGACCATTAGGGTAAAAACACAACAGGAATCTCTCTCTCTCTCCAAGCCTTTCCGGGGAACAAGACTGAGGCGGGCACTGTCGGATACCACAGGTAGCCGCTCCGTGCAGTTATCTCCTCCACGGTACACTGCACACGGGATAACCGGTAGCGGACAATAACCACAAGATACTAAACTGAGATGAAGAAAAACAGGTAAGGGTAGTGGTGGGTAGTGGTGGTGGGTGGTGGTGGTGGTGGGTAGTGGTGGTGGTGGGTAGTGGTGGGTAGTGGTGGTGGTGGCAGTGGTGGTGGTGGAGTGGTGGTGGTCAGGTGGTGGGTGGTGGTGGGGTGGGTGAGTGGTGGTGGGTGGTGGTGGTGGGTGGTGGTGGTGGGTGGTGGTGGTGGTGTGGTGGTGGTGGTGGTGGTGGTGGTGGTGGGTGGTGGTGGTGGTGGTTGGAGTGGTGGTGTGGTGGTGGTGGTTGTAGGTGGTGGCGAGTGTGTTGGTGAGTGTTGATGGTGGTGGGTAGTGGTAGGGAGTGATCGTGGTGGTGGGGGTGGTGGGTGGTGGAAGTGGTGGAAGTGGTGGTGGTCGTGGTGGAGATGGTGAATGAACGGTGGTGTGTCGTGGTGGAGATGGTGAATAAACGGTGGTAATGAGTGATGGTGGTTATGGTGATGACATTGAGTAGTAGTGGTAATGGTGAGTGGTGATAGTGAGTGAATGGTGGTGAAAGAAGAAAAACGCCCACCACCACCACCACCACCAATACCCGGGAGGCTTTAGAGCCGTGAGCCGAGAGAATCTTTATCGTGGCTCCACCAGAAATACCACCACCACCAGCAGCAGGAAGCCGCCGCCTCTTGTGCGATTTATGGGAAGGTACAGTACAGCGTGGCGATGAAATACTGGGCGGAATATAGCCAGGTTAGTAAATATAGCCAGTATATAGCCAAAAGTAGCCAGGTTCGCAAATATAACCAGATATAGCCAAAGGAAGCCAGGTACTGTATGTAATCATTGGCGAGAGAGTAGGTAAAGGGCCTAGTCTTTATAGGCCCCAGTCTTAATAGGCCCCAGTCTTAATAGGCCCCAGTCTTAATAGGCCCCAATGTAATTCCGTCCAAGGGGAAGTTTTGTGGTGGGATTATGTCCAGTAGGAAATCAAACACCTGTAGAAGGATAACGATACGTGTGGTATTGTCCTGAGGGAACTGTCAGGTAAGAACAGGTGGGTGGAGGGTGTGGGTACAGGTGGGTGGAGGGTGTGGGTACAGGTGGGTGGAGGGTGTGGGTACAGGATGTAGGTGGAGGGTGTGGGTACAGGTGGGTGGGTGGAGGATGTAGGTGGGGAAGGTGAGGTGGGTATAGGTAGGTGGGTGTAGGCAGGTGAGGGAGTCGTCAAGGCCTCCGTCTACAACAATGGTCCATTACACACAATTAATTAATCAAGGACAGGTAGCGATGACCAATTCTCTCTCTCTCTCTCTCTCTCTCTCTCTCTCTCTCTCTCTCTCTCTCATAAAGTAGTACGATCCCCGTCAGCGTTTCCTCTAATTATTTCTAAATATGTCGACATTACTTACCTCTCTTTAAGTGTGCGGGTCACGTGAGGCTTTTGTTTTACATGATGTTGTTGTTGATATAACTGTTGTTGACATTACTGTTATTATTATTGTCATCATCATCATCATCATCATCAGCATCATTATTATTATTATTATTATTATTATCATTAACGTGTATTACCTCAGTTACCCAAATTACACCAACAAGGTCACGTCATCACCGCTAGTATCACTTGAATTAAAAAACACAAAGAAAATTACGGAAAAGAATAACACACCGTAACAACAGGTGATGATGATGATTAAAAGGACAGGTGTGTGAAAAATAAATTAAATACGAATAAAAAAACATAATTGGACATAACGAACAAAGACAAAGACGAAATAAATAATAATAATAATAACAAACGATATAACAAGATAATTTTTTTATATCATTACCTGTAATTAAGATAAGGTAAATTACTAACGTGTGTAGACAAGGAAGATTCCAGAAGGTACGAATGAATCTCTGCCCCAATCGCCTACCATTACTACTACACAACTACTACTACAACAACAGCTACTATTACTACTACTACTGGTTGCAACTACTCTACTACTATTACTACTACTAACAATACATTAATAAACGCCTAAAGTCTAGTTACCTACACTAAATATGATTACCTCACAATAACAAAAAAACAATAACCAAATAAACACACCTGCCGGTAATTAAGGTGAGAGAATTAAAGTATATAGAAATTAATAAAACAACCGAACCCTAATTTACCTGTGATTTACCTGTACTAAAACAGGTATTCGTAAATAACTAAATAATGAATAAAAAATAATTACTCCAAAGGAAGACAAAAATATATAAATAAAAGTAAATAAAAACGAATATAAATACTGAAAGAATAAAAGATAAATTAATAAGAGGAAAAACGATAAAAAGTTACCTATAATTACAAAAGAAAAACAAACAGGTGTATAAGTAACAGAAGATGTATAAGTAACAAGACACAGCTCCTACACACAACCCTGGTTTACCTGTAATTAAGACACACAAGAAGCGACAGCACAGGTGAGTCAGTGTGGGAGCAGCTTCACATCTTACACATTACCGGTGGTCGGGAGAGAGGCAACACTACCACGCACGGCTGAGTCCCTCCCAACCCCTCCACCACCACACACTAATACTGTTTTGACTCCAAGATTCTCAGAGATTCCTACGTTAAATTTTCCCGTAATTGGTGATATGAGGTTCGACCATGTTGCAACACCAACACAGATTCTCAGATATTAGTTTAGTAAATTGATCTCGTAACTGGGGTGGATGTGCTGACAAGACCATTTGGCTCACTTAAGTTACGACATCACAATAAATTCTCATAGATTCGTAAGTTAAAATTTCCCATAACTAGCACGTAATGATGGATCAATGTTATTCACTTAAGCCACGACCTAACGATGAATTCTCAAAATAGCGTGAAAGTGAAGATTTATTCCCTTAAGTTACGACACAAAGATGGAGTCTCAGAGTATCGTATTGAGAGAGAGAGAATAACCTACCCTTAGTCACAGTAATAACAAGGACAGGTAACATTCACACAGACAGGTTAATTACTTACACCTTATTCCCATAACCTGACCTCCCTCACCGCCTCACACGGGGGAGGTAAGGAGGTCACTTCTTGCTACCTCACCAACAAGAACTGTGAAGGATACTAATACGACAGTGATCCTGGCAAATTAGTTGGAGGTCACCTGGGATGTGTTGGAAGTCACCTGAGATGTGTTGGAAGTCACCTGAGATGTGTTGGAGGTCACCTGAGATGTGTTGGAGGTCACCTTAGATGTGTTGGAGGTCACCTTAGATGTGTTGGAGGTCACCTTAGATGTGTTGGAGGTCACCTGAGATGTGTTGGAGGTCACCTGAGATGTGTTGGAGGTCACCTTAGATGTGTTGGAGGTCACCTGAGATGTGTAGATATAAAGCGAGCAAACCTTCGTCTGTTTACAGGGGGGGGGGGAGAGTCAGGTAGCCCCACATCCTATTGCTGGCTCTTAATTTAACAGCTCCTGCCTGACTCACATATCCGACGTGACATGAACTCGAAATGCGTCACCTAAACACAGCGTAAAGGGCGTGACGTAGGGGTGTAACGCATGGGGTTCAAACGTGTGCGTGACGAATGGAAATGACGCGGGGGGGGGGGTGACGCAAAAGGTGAGCCCCCTACCATTACCCTTCCTCTCTGTTTTCTTCAAGGTGACGAGGACCAAATGACACTTCCTGAACTCTCTCTCTCTCTCTCTCTCTCTCTCTTGCTCTGAGGGTGGGAAGGATGAAAGGCTGGAGAGAGCTGGTAGGATGAAGAAGGAATGAAAGGGGGGCATGATGAAAGGGACAAGAGGAAGGATAAGAAAGAAGGAAGGAAGGAAGGAAGGAACGGGCATGATGAGAAGGAAAGAGGGACAGGAGGAAGGAGGAAGGAGTCGTCTTAATCCAAGCGTAAAGAAGTAAGTTGAATGACATTGCTGTTGGGTGATCCTCTTCCTCCTCCTCTCTCAAGCACTCCTCCCTCACACCCTCCCTCACACCTTCTTTCGATCCTCATTCCTGCAAAAAGAATCTCTCTCTAAGGGTCAATCGCTTTAACTTTTTATCAATATTCATCAACCAAGTCAACTATCAGACAGACAGACAGGCACAGACAGACAGACAGACATACCAACCTTATAACAAGTTCGTCGAGGCAAAAAATAAATATATATTACCAACTCCCGCCGGCTGCCACCCAAGGGCGCGACCAAACCCAATAACTTCTACCTCTTGCCACCCACCCCATGCCGCCCAGCTCATGCCGCCCAGCTGTGCCACCTAAACATGACATCATCCTGCAAACACTTCCGGGGTGGGTGGGTGGGTGGGTGGATGGCTGGATGGCTGGGTGGGGACACAAAAGTTCCCACCGGTAAAGTTCTCACACAATAACAACGTCAACAACCACACAACCATTACGACAACCACACAACCAACCAACCAATTCGAGCTGGCTTATTATTTCCCCTCCCCCACACACTCGTATATATAAACAGGGTGACTGATCTGTTGTGCCCTCTGTCTGTTAGTTATATATGGTGCGTGTATAACTCGTAGTAATAATAATAATATAATAACAGCAGCAACAACAATAATAATAACAACAACAAAAATGATAATGATAATAATAATAATAACAATAATAATGACGATAATAATAATAACAATAACAATAATAATAATAATACTAAGGAGTAACTTAATACACACTAACACAAAAGCAGGGCGAGGCTCTTCAACCAACACAGTGATAGAGCCTACGGAGTATAGAGCCTACGGAGTATAGAGCCTCTCGTGTATAGAACAGCATGCAGGCGCGGAGAGGAACTAGACACAATACAACCAGCGGAAGTCGTCAGGCGGGTCCGGGAGTTCTTGTGAAAGTTGGGAGGCGAAGAAGGAGTTGGCCCAGTGAATTTTGACACCGTGACCTTGACCTGGCGCACACACACAGACAGAGGGATAAATACATGTATACACTCATACACAGACACATGTATATTACCACAAACACACACAAGTCTCTCTCTCTCTCTCTCTCTCTCTCTCTCTCTCTCTCTCTCTCTCTCTCCCCCGCGGCTCCACTATCATAATGGCGCCTCCTTATATCCCTAATGGGTGTTTGTATCACACCATTATGTGAACCACAATCACAATAGGCTTCTTGAGGGACGCGCCATCATCACCAAGACGACCTCGCTGTCACCACGCAGACGAGACTTCACTATTAACGTTAAGTAACACGATAATCACCAAATAGACCTCACTATCACCAGTCGAGAGCTCACTATCACCAGTTTAGAGCTCACTATCACCAGTTTAGAGCTCACTATCACCAGTTTAGAGCTCACTATCACCAGTTTAGAGCTTACCATCACCAGTTTAGAGCTCACCATCACCAGTTTAGGCTCACTATCACCAGTCGAGCTGCTATCACCAGCTTAGAGCTCACTATCCCCTCGGTTAAACTCACTATCACCAGTTTAGAGCTCACTATCGCAGTCGAGAGCTCCGCCTCACCAGCTTAGAGCTCACTATCACCAGTTTAGACCTCACTATCACCAGTCGAGAGCTCACTATCACCAGTTTAGAGCTCACTATCACCAGTTTAGAGCTCACTATCACCAGTTTAGAGCTCACTATCACCAGTTTAGAGCTTACCATCACCAGTTTAGAGCTCACCATCACCAATAGGACACTCAGCCAGCACCAGACACAACTCTCAGTCACCAAGTCGCCAAAACAATGCTGCACCAGCCGTAGGATAGGACGGTCACCAAGTCAATAATGATTAAAGACTGGGACCGGGGGGGAGGGTGTTTGAGGGATAAGTGATGGTGAGGAGGTGATGGTGAGGAGGAGATGGTGAGGGAGTGGTGAGGGGTTTAATCCTCTTCCACATATCCTTCCATATCACATCCAAACCATACAATAAACAAATAATCCCTATCCACTAAATCCAGGTTAAGTTTTCCCTCGTGTTAAATATTTCGTTTTCCGTTAAATTAATTCAACAGTGAACGCTCATTCCCGCCCATTGTGAACGCTTGGTGTGTTTACATTGGTAGTTAGGCTTACCATGCGTCGCTACCTCCGTTGTTATATAATACCTGGTGTGGAATTTATCTTGAACTTCTGCCAACAGTTCTGACACCAATCTATCTGTCAGTATCTCCTGCCAACACTCCTCTCGCTAATACTGACAACCATCACCCCTGCCAACATCCCTCCCACCCTTCTACCAATCACTCCTGCCAACATACTGACAACCATCACCCCTGCCAACATCCCTCCCACCCTTCTACCAATCACTCCTGCCAACATACTGACAACCATCACCCCTGCCAACATCCCTCCCACCCTTCTACCTATCACCCCTGCCAACATCCCTAACACCTTTCCACCTCTGCCAACAACCAGCCGCTCACCCAAACATACTCTACCAGTCAATCACGGAGCTCAAACACTGGAATCAATTATCCCAGAGGCGAGCAATACAATTATCTCCACTCACTTTATTCCTCTCAACATCTAGAGAGGTTATGTTTACTCTATATTAAACACAGGTGGTATTTTAACATCTACGGAGGCTATGTGTTTACACTGTAGGTAAATTATGATAATTTTAACCCATAATGAGAGTTCAGTCAACGTAGCCTACAGAGTTACTGAAGAACCTCGTTATACTGTATTACTGATAGGAGTTTTTAACGTTGTTTTGTGTTTTAGTATAAGTCAGTCAGTCAGTCAGTCACTTAATGAATGAGTCAGTCAGTTAGTTATTTAATAAGTGAGTTCCCTCCACGCCCTCTCCCTACCCACACGCCCCTTTCCCCCACGCCTCCTCCACACGTCCCCCTCTTCCCCGCGGTCTACACGCCCTCTGCTGCAACAACACGTCATAACACATCACAGTTTAATAACAGGATAGAGGAGGGAGAACAGGAGGAGGAGAGGAAGGGAGAGGAGGAGGAGGAGGAAGGACGGAAGGGAGAGGAAGAGGGAAGGGAGAGGAGGAGGAGGAAGGAGGGAAGGGAGAGGAGAGGAGGAGGGAAGGGAGAGGAGGAGGGAAGCCTGAATTTCCATACCAAAATATTCTGGATTTACTTTGATTAGATTTGGAGGTGGTTAGGTTAGGTTAGGTTAGGCTAGGTTAGGTTAGGCTAGGTTAACACACACGTCACGTCGCCCGCCTCTCACCTGTGCCTCGTCTGGGTACAATTAGCGGGACAAAACAGAAAATATTCACCAGGTAATTATTCTCCAGGTAATTATCAGAACTACAACAACACCAAGGACATCACACCACCTGCTCAAGTTTGAATACTGATGTGGTTAGGTTAGGTTAGGTTAATTTACAACATAAAACAGTTTACAATATATCAACTTAGACTACAATATATCCAGCCAGTTTACATTACATCACAATACAACAGTTTATATCAAGTTTCAGTAAGAGCCGACCAGATGGCGTTGTGTTCACCCTCCTTCACTATACCAAACACCGACACACGTAATACAATATTGTTATGACTGATGTTCCCGCTAATATCAGTTCGCTATACTGCCCGCGCTTTTTAGTGACCCCTCGATACTGAAACAGCTGACGGAGAGTGAAGGTAAACTGACCACATTACTAATAAATAAATAAATAAAGGGTAAAAAAAACGAAAATCTGTAATAATAATAAAAATAGAAAAGAACTGCAGTGCAAAAATACTACAATAACATTCGAGTGAAGTTAGAAAATGAAATAGATGATACAATTTCTATCTCACATGGAAAAGAGTTTGTTTATGTCTGTTTACTTATTTGTTTGTTTACTTGTTTATTTTTTTCACTTGTTTATGTTTATTTGTTCACTAACGAGGTAAACAATTTAACACACTGAAACGACATGACCAAAAAAAAAAAGCTTGTTTATCTGTTTACTTGTTTATCTTTGTTATTTGTCTACTAACGAGGTAAACAATTAACACTGAGGCGCCACACAAACAAGTTATTTTGGGAAAGTATTTAATTTAATCCCAGAAGGTAAAAAAAAATTATTGGAGTAAAATAAATTATATGTAATTCCAAAGTTTGAAGAAAGTAACTGAGGATGTTTGAACGTTTAGGAAAGTATTAAATGGTCATAGAAACTGTAGGGAAGATTTACGAGTTTGGTGGGGAGGGGAGGGGAAGGGGGAGGAGGGAGAAAGAGGTGAGGAGAAAGAGGTGGGAGAAGAGGAGAGGTGCTGGGGAAGAGGAGGGGTGGGGGAAGAGGAGAGGGGGTGGGGAGAGGGGATGGGGATGAAAATGAGGAAGAAGTGGAGGAGGAAGAGGAAGGTGAAGGACATGAAACAGGAAAAATAAAAAGTCACTAAACGTA